CAAACCCTTCAGTAGTTATGGAGATAACAGCTTACAAGCAAAACCTTACCATGAATTTCTAAGTTGAAAAAGGGGAGTAAAATCAGCCTAAATGCAAGATAGAATAATGGATCTTGGTCAGTGCCCTACAATTATGACCCTAAATGCATATGTGAAGTTGTAAATAAATATCTGTAATAGTTATTGAGATATGTAAAACTTGCATGTAAACATTAACAAGAGACTAAGTAGAAAAGGGGAGATAAATCAGCTTAAATGCAAGATAGAGTTATGGAACTTGGTCAGTGACATACAATTATGACCCTTCATGCATATGTGAAGTTTCAAATCAAAATTTCTGATAGTTATTGAGATATGTAAAACTTACATATAAACATTAACCAAGAGACTAAGTAAACAAGAGGGCCATGATGGCCCTGAGGTCGCTCACCTGTATATTAGGTTTCATGATGTTAAGTTTTTACTACACACACATATAATGAAAAACAAGCAAATTCGTTGAATTTATATCCCCGCGCCGAGTACTGGTTATTATTAACACAACAACTGAAGACATAAGGCTTTATTTATATATTAATCATGGCATAAACAGTAATATTCTTTGTGAACTTTGATAAATATTCAGGGCAATAACAGGGCCATAACTTTGTGTTAAATAGTAAAATCTGGAAATGCCAATGAGATGTATGCATACTACATAACTAATCAAGGGCCATAAATCTGAGTTATAAGTATCTTGACTGGAACAAGGCGACTATATGCATATCTCCTCTTAGTATCCCATAAAGTTTCATTGAATTCCAGCCAGTAGTAGCAGAGAAGTAGCGAGGAAACAAATATTTTTCTATATGGATACTGCACCATAACTAATCAAGGGCCATAACTCTGAGTTAAAGTGTCCTGACCGGAACAAGCCGACGATATGCGCATCTCCTCTTGGTATTGAAGGTTCCCATAAATTTTCGTTGAAATTCCAGCCAGTAGTTGCAGAGAAGTAGTGCTGGAAACGATTTTTAACTCTATATGCATACTACATAACTTAATCAAGGGCCATAACTCTGAAGTTAAAGTGTCTGACCGGAACAAGCCGACGATATGCGGCATACTCCTGCTTGATATTGATGATTCCATAAAGTTTCGTTGAATTCCAGCCAGTAGTTGCAGAGAACTACACCGGGAAACGACTTTTTACTCCATATTGCATATTGCATAACTAATCAAGGGCCATAACTCTGAGTTAAAGTGTCTGACCCGAACAAGCAAGGATATGCGCATCTTCTCTTGGTATTGAAGGTTCCCATAAAGGGTTCGTTGAATTCCAGCCAGTAGTTCAGAGAAGTAGCGCGGAAAACGATTTTTTACTCTATATGCATACTTCATAACTAATCAAGGGCCACAACTCTGAGTTAAAGGGTCTGACCGGAACAAGCTGACGATATGCGCATCCCTCTTGGTATTGATATTCCCATAAGTTTCGTTGAATTCCAGCCAGTATTGCAGAGAACTACTCCGGAAACGATTTTACTCTATATGCATACTACTATTAAAACTAAGCAAGGGCCATAACTCTGAGTTAAAGGGTCTGACCAGAACAGCTGACGAAATGCGCATCTCCTCTTGATATTGATGATTCCCATAAAGTTTCGTTCAGAATTCCAGCCAGTAGTTGCAGAGAACTACTCCGGAAACGAAATTCACGAAATTCGGACGGACGGATGGATGGACAGATGCGCATCTCTCTTGATATTGATGATTCCCATAAAGTTTCGTTTGAATTCCAGCCAGTAGTTGCAGAGAACTACTCCGCAAACGAAATTCGGACGGACGGACAACGCCAAAACTATATCCCCCTCCCGATTCCATCTGACACCCCCCCTCCCCCCCCCGGCAGGGCCAATTTTAACCCAAGGGCTTTTATTTGAACAAACTTGGTAGACACCCACATGAAGATGTTTCATGTTAAACATCTTACCTCTAGCTCATTGGGTTTTTTAAAAGAAGATTTTTTAAGTTTTTACTATACACATATAATTAAAAACAATGACACCTCTGGGGCGGGGCCAGTTTTGACTCCAGGGCTTTTATTTGAACAAACTTTGTAGACACTTACTAGAAGATGTTTCATGCTCAATATCTAAACTCTAGCTATTTGGGTTTTATCAAAGAAGATTTTTAAGTTTTTGCCATACACATATAAGGAAAATCAATGACCCTCGGGGCAGGGCCAATTTTGACCCCAGGGCTTTTATTTGAACAAACTTTGTAGACACTAAACTAGAAGATGTTTCATGCTTAATATCTAAACTCTAGCTATTTGGGTTTTTCAAAGAAGATTTTTTTTAAGTTTTTGCTATACACATATAAGGAAAATCAATGACCCCGGGGGGGGCCAATTTTGACCCCAGGGCTTTTATTTAAACAAACTTTGTAGACACCCATTAGAACATGTTTCATGCTAAATATCTTAGCTCTAGCTCTTTGAGTTCTTTAAAAAGAAGATTTTTAAGTTTTTACTATATGCATATAGGGAAAATCAATGACCCCCTGGGGCAGGGCCAATTTTGACCCCAGTTGCTTTTACTTGAACAAACTTGGTAGACACTCATTAGAAGATGTTTAATGCTAAGTATCTCAGCTCTAGCTCTTTGGGTTTTTTAAAAGAAAATTTAAGTATTTACTATATGCATGTAGGGAAAATCAATGACCCCCTGGGCGGGGCCAATTTTGACCCCAGGACTTTTATTTGAACAAACTTGGTAGACACTCACTAGCCAAATATCTAAGCTCTAGCTCTTTGGGTTTTTTTCAATGAAGATATTTAAAGTTTTTTTCTTTTGGTTGCCATGGCAACCAGAGTTCTGCATGGAATTAAAATTCTTTGAACAATTTTCAAAGGTGACCACCAAAAAGGAACATTCCTGTGAAGTTTGGATGAAATTCGCTTAGTGGTTTTATGAGGAGATGTTGTTTAAAGTAAAAGTTTACGGACGCCGGACGGACGCCGGACGAAAAGCGATCACAAAAGCTCACCCTGTCACTTTGTGACAGGTGAGCTAAAAAAGGGGAGATAAATCAGCCTAAATACATGACACAGATATGAGTGCTGTTCAGTGATCATTATTTATGACCACAAAAATAACATATGAAGTTTAAAGTTTGTATCTTTAATAGTTTCAGAGATATGCAAAACTTGCATGTTAAACATAACCAAGAAGAGGAGATTTTTTTAGTACAAAAGGGAGCATAATTCAGTCAAAATACATGGCAGAGTAATGAATCTTGAGATGTGACCTTCAATTATGACCCTAAGTACATGTGTTAAGTTTCAAGTAAATATCTTTGAAGACCTTAACCTTAAACCAAAATTTTTAAGTTTCAAAGGGGCAAATAATTATGCAAATATTGCAGGCAGAGTTATGCAACTTTGTAAACTGATGTACATTGTTACTTATAAAAAAGGTATTGTAAATTTCAATTGAATATCTCAAGCAAAAATTGAGATATTTGACTTTACAAAAAACTTTAACCAAAAATTTCTAATTTAAAAAGGGGCATAATTCTGTACAAATTATTGTACGCAGAGTTCCCTCCAACTTAGATTTTCAATCTGATGTGTAATGTTACTATAAATAAGTATTGTAAGTTTCAATTGAATATCTCAAGCATTTTTTGTTTCTATACAAATTGAAGATTGCCATAATGCATAGATCACTGACCTATCTAATTCTTATTATCAAATTAGTGGTTAAAATCTATTGTTTTTATTCACATAAAAGATCAGAGTAGGAATCTATCAATGCAGTTGAGTCAAGTGAATTTGATGGTGAAGGTCATATTTCACATGGCACAAAATTCCATGACGGTACATCAAAGACAACACAGTAAGACTTTGTCAAAATCTAGGCCAGCTGATATCAATGTTCACTTTACATCATTCTTAATCTGTGCACATAGTAGAAATTTCATAGCTGCACATTGAAAGACAAGAAAGTAGGTCACATCATTAAAATCTACTAGGTCACCTGATATCAAAGTTCATTTTTACAACTAAAAATGTGCACATAGTCCAAATTTCATGGCTGTAACATCAAAGGACAAGAAAGTAGGTCACTGTCCCCTAAGGCAAGGCATAATTTTGACCCAAGGGTTTAACTCTTTAATTTTAATTTATTTTAATTAATTTTTTACTATATGTACATAGTGAAAATCAATGACCCCAGGGAAGGGCCAATTTTGAGGCCAGGGCTATAATTTGAACAATCTTGGTAGAGGTTCACTACACAAAGTCTCAGGCCAAATATGTAACCTCTAGCCAGAGTTTGTCAATTCAGAGAAGAAGATTTTTCAAGTTTTTATTTTATACATATAAGGAAAACTATCGCCTTAGGGGGCAGGGCAATTTTAACACTAGGGGCATAATTTAAACAACTTTGGTAGAGGACCCATAGATTATATTATATACAAAATATCAAAGCTCTAAGCCTTGTACCTTCAGACAAGAAGATTTTTTAATCTTTTACTATATATACATAGTGAAAATCAATGGATCCCCTGGGCTGGGCCAATTTCAACCCATGGCTATTTTTTGAACAATATTGTCAACCCCATGGCTATTTTTTTTAACAATATTGGTAGAGGTTCACTACACAATGTTTCGTGCAAAATATCTAACCTCTAGCCTTTGTCAATTTCGAGTAGATGATTTTTTAAGTTTTTACTATATAAATATAAAGAAAACCTATGACCCCCGGGGCGGGGCTAATTCTGACGCTAGAGGCAAAATTTGAACAACTTTGGTAGAGTACCTACAGATGATATCACATACCAAATAAATAAATATACAAGAAGATTTTTTAAATTTATTCTTATAATTCCTTTTGGTTGCCATGGCAAAAAATTATTTGAACAACTTTGGAAGCCCTTCACCCAAGGATCAATCCTGCCATGTTTGGTTGAAATTGGACTAGTGGTTTTTTACAAAAAGACTTTTTAAGTTCACTATATGACCGCCGCCATGAGAAAAGGGGCACTCGGGCATATATGACGTAACGTCAAAAACTTCGGGAAAAGGAGAACGGCTAATGACAGCGATTTTTTCGTCGCCATACTAGTTTCGGTGCGCGAGATTTATAAAGTATTGGCTGTATATGAATTGTTTGAGGAAATGGACGAATTTGAGGTAAAAAACAAACATTCTATTATATTTATATTTAAAAATTTGGTGTCTAGTCGTCATATTTATTGACTTTTTAAACACGTCTGCTGTTCGCTATCGTTTGCAGCTTTAATCCCGGTCTACAAATTATTCACAGCAAAACTGTACATTAATTTTAAATGATGTCACACTTTGCAATTTCTGTCAGTTTATGTCATATTTGTTAATTTAAACTGAATTTTATTAGCGCTGTATTGATTTTTTTCTTTTGACAGCAGTGTTTACATAAATGCTAAGCGACGTGATTCTCTCCCCTGTTTGCTATTTTTAGCAAAAATTATTTTATATAATAAATATTGATAGCCTAGCATTACATGTGTCCGTGGCTCAGTGGATACAGCGTGTGCGTTGCGTGCGCGTCGATCGTGGTTCGAAACCTCGTTCTGTCTTATTTATTCTTTTTTTTACATTTAATCTTTAAATGTTCTTTCAAATACTTTTTCGATTATTTTAGGAATTAAATGGATTATTTGAATCATTTGGAGTACCTGCCGAGCAGAGTCAAACATCAACAGAGGTTGATATTCCTGAAGATCTGAGCCAGGAGTTTGAAGTCAGTGACAGTGACCAAGAACAGTCTGACACAGAACAGGTAGTGAATGAAAGGATTGAAGAAGTGATTAGAAATTATGACACTGTAAATACCAGGGAATCAGACTCAGACAGAGACACTGATGACGCATCATGTACTCGTAACAGAGCCTGTAATGTTTGTACGTGTGAAGTTGATTGCCTTCTCTATTTTGACAAAGCTAGTGTTGACAGTCACACACTTTCTATGAGAGAGATTGACAGAAATGAAGCAGAGATGTTCATTACTGGGAGTGTACATCAAATTGCTACTGACGAAACTCTTAAAGGGAAACGCCGGAAACGGACTCGTTTTAGATACACATTTCATGGTAAACCTATCTGTTAGAAGGCATTCATGTATGTAAATGATATCGGATCAAAAGCTCTCCGAAACCTACTTGATCACTTTACTACCAATGGCGCAATACCACGTACCCACGGAAACAGTGGAAGAAAACCACACCATGCCCTCGGTTACAATGAGATACGGTTTTGTGTAGACTGGATTTTATGGTATGCTGATATCAATCGTTTACCTATGCCAGCAGCACCCAGGGGCCGTGACGGGGAAGCCCCTATTCTTCTCCCGTCGAACCTTACAAAAGCTTCTCTACACAGTCAATATTGTCAGGCATGTGAGGAGTCAGATGTACGGAAGCTCGGAGTGTCATCATTCAAAAATGTATGGAAAAATTGCATTCCACACATAAAGATAATAAATCATAGATATTTTATATACATGTACATTTTGGACAAACCACAATATATGTTTTACCTTAATGTTTTAGGATGCTCAAACAGAACGTCAGGCGTACATGACAGCGGTTATTCAAGCGAGAGAAAAAGATGGTAGGCTACACCCGACCGACAATACCCGTTGCACCAATTTCCACAGAGTTCAGTAAGGTATGCATATGACAGTTATGGTATAAGCTTTAAAGATCTTTTACAGGTTATATGACCATATATAAACGGTTGTTGTATATATAACCGAGCTGTAAGGCAATTGCATATTACCGTTTACATTCATTAAGAATTAATTTTTATTACGAACTTATAATAATGCAAACTTTCTTTATTATTAGAAGTAAAATGAAACAAGATATGTTTGTAAAACATGTATGCCCCCTATCAGCAGCCAATTAGTCATGTGATAAGGTTATTATGCATGACTTCTGACCCAGTGATCAAACAATTAATAAGGGTTATAAAGTATCTACTGGTCATGACCTTGACCTTTGACCCCTTGACCCAAAACTCAATAGGGGTCATCTGCTGGTCACGACCAATCATCAAACAAAGTTTGAAGTTCCTAGGCCTAGGCGTTTTTAGTAAATTGATCAGAAACCGTTTTTTACCTACAAGTCAATGTGACCTTGACCTTTGACCCTTGACCCCAAAATCAATAGGGGTCATCTGCTGGTCATGACCAATCACCATGCCAAGTTTGAAGTTCTTAGGCCTAAGGGTTCTCTTATTATTGATTGGAAACCGTTTTAACATACAAGGTCAATGTGACCTTGACCTTTGACCCCAAAATCAATAGGGGTCATCTGCTGGTCATGACCAATCACCATGCCAAGTTTGAAGTTTCTAGGCCGAAGCGTTCTTAAGTTATTGATCAGAAACCGTTTTTACTTACAAGGTCATTGTGACCTTGACCTTTGACCCCTTGATCCCAAAATCAATAGGAGTAATCTGCTGGTCATGACAAATCACCATACCAAGTTTGAAGTTCCTAGGCCTAAGCGTTCTTGAATTATTGATCAGAAACCGTTTTTACTTAAAAGGTCAATGTGACCTTGACCTTTGACCCCTTCACCTAAAACTCAATAGGGGTCATCTGCTGGTCATGACCAAACATCACACAAAGTTTGAAGTTCCTAGGCCTAAGCGTTTTAAGTTAATTGATCGGAAACCGTTTTTAATTAAAAGGTCAATGTGACCTTGACCTTTGACCCCTAGACCCCAAAAACAATAGGGGTCATCTACTGATCATGACCAATCACCATCTCAAGTTTGAAGTCCTTAGGCCTAAAGGTTCTTTCATTATTGATCGGAAACCGTTTTTACCTACAAGGTCAATGTGACCTTGACCTTTGACCCCTTAACGCCAAAATCAATAGGGTCATTTGATTGGTCATAACCAATCACCATACCAAGTTTGAAGTTCCTAGCCTAAGGGTTCTTTTTTTATTGATCAGAAACCGTTTTTAATTAAAAGGTCAATGTGACCTTGACCTTTGACCCCTTGACCCCAAAATCTATACGGGTCATCTTACTGATCATGACCAATCACCATACCAAGTTTGAAGTTCCTAGGCCTTAAGGTTCTTTAGTTATTGATCAGAAAACCGTTTTTACCTACAAGGTCAATGTGACCTTGACCTTTGACCCCTTGACCCCAAAATCAATAGGGGTCATCTACTGATCATGACCAATCACCATACCAAGTTTGAAGTTCCTAGGCCTAAGGGTTCTTTTGTTATTGATCAGAAACCGTTTTTAATTAAAAGGTCAATGTGACCTTGACCTTTGACCCCTTGACCCCAAAATCAATAGGGGTCATCTACTGATCATGACCAATCACCATACCAAGTTTGAAGTTCCTAGGCCTTAAGGTTCTTTAGTTATTGATCGGAAACCGTTTTTGCTTTTAAGGTCAATGTGACCTTGACCTTTGACCCCTTGACCCCAAAATCAATAGGGGTCATCAACTGGTCATGACTAATCACCATACCAAGTTTGAAGTTCCTAGGCCTTAAGGTTCTTTAGTTATTGATCAGAAACTGTTTTTGCTTTTCAAGGTCAATGTGACCTTGACCTTTGACCCCTTGACTCCAAAATCAATAGGGGTCATCTACTGGTCATGACCAATCACCATACCAAGTTTGAAGTTCCTAGGCCTTAAGGTTCTTTAGTTATCACTCGGAAAACCGTTTTTGCTTTCAAGGTCAATGTGACCTTGACCTTTGACCCCTTGACCCCAAAATCAATAGGGGTCATCTACTGGTCATGACCAATCACCATTACCAAGTTTGAAGTTCCTAGGCCTTAAGGTTCTTTAGTTATTGATCGGAAACCGTTTTTGCTTTCAAGGTCAATGTGACCTTGACCTTTGACCCCTTGACCCCAAAATCAATAGGGGTCATCTACTGGTCATGACCAATCACCATACCAAGTTTGAAGTTCCTAGGCCTAAGGGTTCTTTAGTTATCACTCGGAAACCATTTGGTCTACGGACCGACGGACCGACAAGTGCAAAGCAATATACCCCCTTTTTTTCAAAATGGGGGCATAATAAATATATAAATCGATTGCAGCAGTTCATACAGATTATATTAACGTCACGATTATCCGTTGAAAAAATGACGTTATAAACGTGCAATATTATAATTATTAGTGCAAATAACATATTGAGAGTGCTATAGTCTGAAGGCTCCTGTCTTTATATTTGATAATTAAAAAATGGATTTAACATACAAAACTGCATGGTTTTTAAATTAACAATTTGGAAAATGCATATGTGATTCATATTGGTAAACTTAGATTAGTCAGAATATTAGTAAATAAAGTCATCATTAGAATAGTCAACATACATGTATAATATAAAACAAGAGCCCGGTTTGAGCCGGGTGATGCTCCCCGAATAGGTTTTGGACACAGGAAAGTACACCTCTTGTAGTTTCAGAGTTATGTCCGTGGAAAAAGTTCAAAGTGCAATAATTCTAAAATTAGGCAAGGCAGAGTTACAGTTCTTTGCACTGCACTTCTAATCAATGTGATCTATCAACCTACAAAGTTTCTTGATGATATCTCTTCTGATTTCCGAGTTATGTCCTGGACAATTCAAAAAGTAAAAATAAACAAAGGGCAATAACTCCAGAATTAGGCAAGGTAGAGTTATGATTCTTGTGCACTGCACATCTACCCATTGAGATTTATCTACCTACAAAGTTTCATGTTGATATCTCTTATAGTTTTACAACTATGTCCTGGATAAGATTTTTCTAAAAGGGGAGATTATTCAAAAATAAGGCTTAACAGAGTTATGGTTCTTTTGCACTGCACCTCTACTCAATGAGATCTATCTACCTACAATGTTTCATGTTGATATCTCTTATAGTTTTAGAGTTATGCCCCGGACAAGATTTTTCTATAAGGGGAGATAATTCAAAAACCAGGCAAAATAGAGTTATGGTTCTTTGACACTGCACTCCCCCTTGATGCCCTCTACCACTGTATGAAGTTTCAACAAATTATCTCCAAGGGTTTTCAAGTTATGTTCCGGACAAAGTTCAAGTTCAAAGTATTAAAATAAACAAAGGGCAATAACTCCAAAATTAGGACAAAAAGAGTTATTGTTCTTATGCACTGCACATCTACGCATTGAGATCTATTCACCTACAAAGTTTCATGTTGATATCTCTTATAGTTTTAGAGTTATGCCCCGGACAAGATTTTTCTATAAGGGGAGATAATTCAAAAACCAGGCAAAATAGAGTTATGGTTCTTTGACACTGCACTCCCCCTTGATGCCCTCTACCACTGTATGAAGTTTCAACAAATTATCTCCAAGGGTTTTCAAGTTATGTTCCGGACAAAGTTCAAGTTCAAAGTATTAAAATAAACAAAGGGCAATAACTCCAAAATTAGGACAAAAAGAGTTATTGTTCTTATGCACTGCACATCTACGCATTGAGATCTATTCACCTACAAAGTTTCATGTTGATATCTCTTATAGTTTTAGAGTTATGCCCCGGACAAGATTTTTCTATAAGGGGAGATAATTCAAAAACCAGGCAAAATAGAGTTATGGTTCTTTGACACTGCACCCCCCCTCAATGCCCTCTACCACTGTATGAAGTTTCAACAAATTATCTCCAAGGGTTTTCAAGTTATGTTCCGGACAAAGTTCAAAGTATTAAAATTAACAAAGGGCAATAACTCCAAAATTAGGATGAAAAGAGTTATTGTTCTTATGCACTGCACATCTACCCATTGAGATCTATTCACCTACAAAGTTTCATGTTGATATCTCTTATAGTTTTAGAGTTATGCCCCGGACAAGATTTTTCTATAAGGGGAGATAATTCAAAAACCGGGCAAAATAGAGTTATGGTTCTTTGACACTGCACTCCCCCTCGATGCCCTCTACCACTGTATGAAGTTTCAACAAATTATCTCCATGGGTTTTCAAGTTATGCTCCGGACAAGACAACGGACGGACAGACGGACGGACGGACGGACCTATGGCGGGCTCCTGTGTGACAATTTACTTATGTGGCGATAATTTTTTACTTCTGTGACTGCCTCAAAAAGTTATTTACAGCACCAGTCTCCTGCTGCAGTCACATAAGCTTTTAGTTTTCTGTCACACAAGTCTTTAGCTTTCTTTATCTCTTTTCTTGCTATCACAATGCCTTTATGAGAGAAAAATACAAAAGCATAACAGAAGTGTCTATCTTTTAATGGTGATAGTTTTATTTGACTGAATTAGAGGAAGCCTTAACAATCAATTATAACATATATAAACGGATTAGTTGAGAAAATTTTCCAGAACATTGTGTAATACTTGTTTAATAAAGTTAATAAACATTCCTAAACTTTGGTGAATTTGTATGCAAAGTAATAAAAAATAATCCTTGGATAATGTTAAAACTGTTCGAGAGTTTGAGCAGTCTAGTAGTGTTTCATTTT